GTGTTTCTGATTTGTGTGTGTGTGCGTGTGTGCGTGTGTGTGTATTGTTGTGCGGCGCACGGGCAGGACTGGCGTGTGCGGGAGCCTGGGATCGCGGCTCTGCCTCCTCTGCAAAGTCTGATCCAGGATTATGGTCTAGGTGAAGGGAGAAGGCTCTTGCTCGCCCCAAGGATCGATTATGCTCGGGTTTTGATTGCATTCGGGGGTTTCTGCAGCCGCGGACGCCTCCCCCTCCCCGGCGGCCCCCCTCCCTTGTTTTCCGTTAGAAACACGGGCAAGAAAATAAATGTATTCACTGGGTGTCGCAAGAGCAAAGGCTAAATAATCAAAGGTAACGGCAGCGGCAAGGCGAAGAGACCCGCACTGTATCCTGCTCCCCCACACTCCCAGACCTGCCTTCCTATTTATTGGCGAGACCTCCCTCCCTCCCTCCCTCCCTCCCGCTCGGTGCGAGTGTGTTGTGCGAGTGTTTAATCCCGGGAAAAGTGCAGCCATCCAGCCATGGTGGTTTTCAATGGCTTGCTGAAAATCAAGATCTGCGAGGCGGTGAATCTGAAACCCACAGCGTGGTCTCTGAGGCATGCGGTGGGTCCCAGGCCACAGACCTTTTTGCTGGACCCTTACATAGCCCTCAATGTGGATGACTCCAGGATCGGGCAGACCTCAACCAAGCAAAAGACCAACAGTCCTGCTTGGAACGATGAATTTGTCACCGACGTTTGTAATGGCAGGAAGATAGAGATGGCTGTTTTCCACGATGCCCCCATCGGGTACGACGATTTTGTAGCTAACTGCACTATACAGTTCGAGGACTTGCTGCAGAACGGGAGCCGCCACTTCGAGGACTGGGTAAGTGTTCGCGCTGTAGATACATACATGTACACATGATTTTCAGTGGCGTGGCTCTGGATGCAACATCTGTCTTGCAGAGCTAGGTTGCCAAGGGCATGTAATGGCTCTGAAGGCTTTTCATTATTTCCACGCTTTGTTATACTGAGATAGTCATGGTTACTGTATACCTAATGCATGTGGTCTACAGGCAAGGGAGGAAAGAGAAATATGCTGAATCTAAGTAAGAGATGTATAATTACCATTTCAGTTTCTGAAATTACGTTACATAAATACAAGTCTAGTTATCTTACTGTGTTTGAAAAACCTCAACCAAATGCACCCATACAGAACATTACCGCAAAACCCAGATCCAGCACTTAGACCGAGTTCATCGTTTCAGTGTGAATGCTCTTGGTCAGCCTGGCAATGACGAGCCTTAAAAATCCAGACCTGACCTCTGATACGAGACACTTCGGGGTCTTCGTGTCACTTGGAAGCTCACTGCATCAACACTGATGCTCCTCCTTCCTTCCCCCAGCTGATCTACACTTTTATGCGTAGAGCTAATGCAACGCTTCTTCAAATGCCTGAAACTGATAAAAGGGTCCTGGGGGATTTTGGCCCCAACCAGACAAATTCTGTTGCCTGTATACACAACGTGTCTAACAGCTTCTACAGCGTCTTAAAGACCCAGAGGCTAACATGCCTCAGTAGGTGTACAAAAAAACTGGAAAATCCTTGGTCTGACATCCTCAGGTACTGTGATTTAACGCGGAAAAATCAAACAAACAAAAAAAGAAACACAGGAAACGTGATTATGCACATTTCACATTTCTGCAGTTGAACAGTTAAATGGTATATCCTTTAAATAAGATGTATAATAAAACAATAGCAGCTGTCTTCTCATTTTAAATGTGCCCTGCTTGACCAGCCCTCTGAAATGTGTATGCTCATCTTTTTGTGTATTTGTTTGTTATGGTCAAGGATACTAGTCAGGGCAGTATTTCTTTGGCAAACAGACAAAGAACCCTGGACCAAAGTAAAAATAGCGGGAGTTAATAGCTCTGAGTTTCACGTATTCTTTGGGGCTTCTTTACTTAATGCAGTGGTATAAAGAGATGTCAGAATGATGGAAAGGTGTGAAAGAATTAGGCTCTATTTATGCTGATGAGGAGCTGAATAACTTTACTGTTAAAACTTTTAGTTTTTTAACTTTAAAATATTTTTCACTTCTGCTACATATGTTACATTGTTATAATTAGGATCTAGATTATTCTGATGCTCTATGAAAGCTACACATTAGTAAGCTCGGATGGTGGAACTGGGTGATAGGCAGAGGAAAAATAGCCAAATCAGGAAAAGACAAATGCAGCAGTATTGCAGATGTCTTTTACCTGGATTGAATGATAATCAAGTTGTGGCTCTCCTGAAATCAAGGGGTGTTTCATCTTTGAGAGCAATGGGATGAGGACGTCATCACAGATTTTCAGTGAAAGAATGATAATTTCGTATGTCCTTTTTGTGTATGGTACATGTTGTGAGTTTGTCACCAAATCTGGAAGGACCTTGCAGGTGCCAAGTTTGAATTTTGGTGGGGCTGGTGTGCTGGGGTATGTTCTGGCTCTGATTTTTAAGGTGAACTCAAATGTCTGAACATGTTCCCTAGATAAAGAGTGGAATTTAACAGATTGAGGCCCATTGTAAACATGATCTGGGAAGAACTACATAGCTGAATCAGATAAATGCTGTGTTTTATTGCACCAGGATTCATTGCTGTCCAGCATTCACTGGGTGGGAGGAGACGAGGGAGTGACTACGCTTGTTGTCTGTTGATGTGACAGAATTGAGGACATGGCAGTGGATTATAACTGGTCAGCTCAATATAATGCAGCTTCTGAAGCATCACTTACCTCGTTTTGTGCTGTAAATCCTCGTAGTTTGGATTGTGTTTGTGCGGTACACCGTGTACGCCACCCTCCCTGTATCACAGTTAGAATTGGTGGGGAGGCAAGTATTTATAGGATTGTGCTCTACCCTTTCCAAAATCTTCCCATTTACTGAAAGTGTCACTGTAATTGTAATACCGAGTGTGTTTATTGGATTGTTAATAGACAGGGACCTTCAGAGAACTGGCTCTTACAAAATCACTTTTTTTGTCTGATTTCACTGAGTTAAAATAAGGCCTGTGGCCATGACATCTCTATAGAGTCCATAGTGAGGTAAATAGATTTACTGGTATCTTCATCAGTGTCTGGAGTCTATATTAAAATCTGAAAAAGAGAAGTCGTCTATGAAATGAATGGGTTTCACAGTACAAGAAAAATGCACGTGGCCTAAACCAGTTTTAGACTAAGATCTGCTGGAACGATACAGTCAGTTTCTTCTGTTTAATAAGAGGACTAATTCCTGCATTTCGCTCTTGGCATTTAAGGCAGATTTTCTTGTAGTACTCTTTCCAAACTTTATAAGAGGAAATTAAAAGCAGCAATCACAGGAACCCATTCCTCCTAACTGCCTGAAACATCAAATAAATGCAACCTAAGAAACACTCTTGGAGGCCATAAAGTCTTTTTATGCCATTCTGAGGGTTTCCCTTTAAGCAGTCCTGAAAGTTTGAACTGGGTACCACATACTTGTTGAGTGTGTGTCGTGTAATTGCACTGCTGCCCCTCTACCTTCAGGATGATGCAACAGTTCTTGCAGGACTGGACTGTCACTGTTCGAGTAGGTTTGAGAAAATGCTCATGTGCTGAGAACAGCTCTTGTCAATATATTAATAGCTTTAATGCTTTCAATCTCATATAATAACGTATTTTTGTAAGGAAATTTCAATATTTGTTTTATAATATCTGCACTAAGGTCAAGGTTACGTTACTTATCCTGTAATATATTTCTAGGCTCTTGTCAGAAGTCCAAAATGCGAAAAAGACTTGCAAAGAAATAATGGTTTGGTTTTTTTCCCCTAAAAAGAAACTGTTTCTCTCTTTAGCCAGCTCACCTACTTTGATTGGTTTTTGCCATTGTGCAAATCTTTGTATTTTTTCTGAGATGACTTTTTTAGGAAAATACTGGGTATTTTTCTCACTGTTAAGCCTGTGCTATATACTGATACCATGGTTACAGTGGAAACATTAATGATAAACAAGTACAAAGCTTGAAATCATGATAGCTTCTATTGTATTAGGACAAATCAGATAAATATGCAAAATCCTGGTTCCTTTTACCTACAGAGTATTCATCAGTTGCAAAAATTATTTTTAACCTTATAATGTGTATATTCCCTGAATATATATCTATGTTAAAAAAAAAACAATCAAAGTTGTGGCCTAAATCGGTGGTTCAGATTTTACTGGGTGGAAGCTTTTAAACAAAATATATACTTTTCTTTTTTTTTAAAGATCAATATAAAATATTTGTTTGGGTTTCTAAAAAAAGGGTATAGTGACAATTAAAAAGATGGCTGCTTTTCCAGTGATGCATCAATACAGATATAGCACAGTAAAAGTGTCAGTTTTGCAGATTTTTTTAGTCATGGCTACACTGCAGTTTTAAAGAGAGCTTTGTATTTATGACGTGACAGGTCTTTCTGTAAGCACATAAAACGTTACATAGAATGGCACAGAGTATTCAAGAGGATGTTGGTGAACTTACACTTTGAAAAATCCGAAATACAGAACAATAAACAACCTGCAAGTTCTGACTGAAAAACAAACTAACAACATGAAAGCTGTGGCTATATTTTTTTGAGTTAGGTAATTCCTGTAATAATAAAGTATGTCTTTATCTAGCTTCCTTACATGTGGCATATGTGAACGTTGCACTTGAGTTGGTAATGCAGCTACATTTTAATCAGTAGAACTGAGATCAGGAAGGAAAATTCTGTTGATATTTAGCCTTGCGGTTACACTCCTGTGAATTAGCACGATCAATGTTTATGTGTTTGGATGATCGGTAGTATGGGTTCCGAGTTCAAGTCCACTTTCCAGAGTTGATGATAGATGAAATCAGTGTGATTGGACCTATGCCAAAGACTCCATCTAAGGGTCTTAGCCATTAGCCCAGCTGTACACGAGAAAACCTATCGAGTTGTTCTAAGAAATCCTTTTGAGGGCTGAGTAGCAGAACTCACTAAATCAGTCAGAACATCACAACGTTTAGCAAGAAAAGCCTCTGTTTCCACTGGAAATAATTTACAGCTGTATTTAGGTTAATGAAACAAGTTTAATTTTCTTCTCTCTTAAAAAAATCCCTAACGCTGTCAGAAAAAAAATAAAACACAGATTTCAGTGAGCTTTTCTTTGCTAGTCCTAAATATCTTCCATACTATTTTTTTTCTTTTCAGTGCTGCTTCTTAAGATCTAAATTTAAAACATTATACTTTTTTAAAAGCATCCTTCCATATTTCCATTTTATCAATGTGAAGTTAGTCATGCAACTGTGCCACCATTGCATAAAGCAAGTTTATTATGAATTAATATAATATCTCAATAACAAGTTGATGATGAGTTATGGGAAATGGCATGGGGAAGAAGTACTTTCTTTTACGTACTTGTTGAACCTGTTGAGTTACGTATTTTTGTGTCATGCTTATAGTGTACTATTGAAGAAAATTTCCTATTGGAAAGACTAGGTCTTCAAGTTGCAGTCAATACAGTTAGACACCTAGGTTAACGGAGCTCTGAATGTCACCCAAAAGGCAATAGCAGGGGAGGGATTAAAACTCTTCTGAGTCCTTGGTCCCGTGAGCTGTCCATGGATGTGAGAAGTAGAACTGTCTCCTTCCAGCGCCTTTAATCTGAATTAACTGTAAAGACTGCTTAGGTGCTTGTCAGAGTTCTTCTGTTTGGTTGGTTTTTTTGTGGTGGTTTTTTTGGTTGTTTGTTTTTTTTTTTTTAAATGCCATTCTGTTGCTGAAATGGGAACTCCTTTCAGTCAGCAGGTAATCTGTTGTAGCTGGCAGATGGAGAGTGGAATCGTCGTCATTTTAGTGCAGGTCACCCTGCGCGTTGACCTCTGCT